TTCCTAGTGCCTGGAAACATGAGGTTGTTAACCAAGCGCTCGAACATCGCTGTCTAACTGCGGGCTATTACATCACTGCTCCTTAGATTTTTTTAAAGCGTGTTGATGGACGCGACGGGTGCGTGTAAGAAAACTACGAGTCAAAAACGGTTTCGACAAAAGCTTCGTCGCCGAGCGTTTGCAGTTCGCTGGCCAAGTCGTAGTTGAGCACTTCGTTGAGGTTTTGGTACGAAGCGAGGCGGTATTTGCGGTCTTTGCTAAGCGCCTCGACGCGCAGCATGTTGGGCAGCTCCTCGATGGGGTTGAGCTCAAGCGAAGTGTGTGAGCGAAGCTTCTGAAACAGCGACGGCGCGTAGGCGCGGCTGTAGGCGAGCACCATGACTAGTTCGTTGCTGAGGAGCAAAAAACGGACTAGTTCCTCGTGTTTGTGCAGCAGAAACATGGTGGTCAGCAGGCACCGCCGCTCCTGCGGGTTGCACGGCGGCGTGTTCGGCGAAGAAGAGTTGGCTTCGCGAAGGCCTGCGGCGAGCTCCTCCGTGTCGCGCTGAAGTTCTTGCTCGAGACCCAGAGTGGAAACCAGAACGTCTAGCAAGGATTGAAACGCGGTTCGTGTACCGATCGCAAACGCCACAGCCAAAGCTGAGTCCCAGCTTTTGGCGTTTATGAAGCTGCTCAGAGCCATTTTGACGCGCCCGCCTTGCAACGCATTGATGCCGAAGCGTTGCCACATTTGTTGCACCTCCGCGGCCTTGCCAGTGGCGTTTGCGCGCAGTAGCAGTTCGTGCGCTACCTCGAAGTCGTTGTACTCGAGCGCGAGGCTGATTTTGTTTATCAGCAGCGCCTCTGGCAGCAGCTCGATTGAGAAGCGGTGATAGCCGCACTGTGCCAAAATGTCTCCGAACGCAGCGAAGTTGAGGTTCTTGATTGCGCGCACCGGTTGCAGGTCCTCGCGCACAAAGCAGCCCGCGTTAATTTTTGACAAACTACTCGATAGGGTCGGATTGAGCCATAAAACGTGCAGCTCCGCATTTGCGTCGACTAGCAACAAGCTCGAGTATGGCGACAGGAAGCCAAGAATCGAGCACTGCAGCGCGATGGAAGCCTCGGATTTCTGCAACTCGTATGAGAACTGCGAGAAGTGAAACGCTATACGGTCGGAGACGTCGACGGAGACCACACAATTGTTGATGAGCGCTGCTGAGCGCAGGAACGAGCTCGTGAAATTGCGCAGGACTGTGAAGTCGAGTTTGTCGTTTGCAGTCGCAGGCAGCGCGGCTTCGAGCAGCATGATGCGCTCCTGCGAAAAAAGCGCTAGACTCATCTTGCCGTCACACTCGGAATATTGCAGACTGACCACGTTCGGCGCGCTAATGCTGGCGACCAGGTCGAAAGTTCGTAGGTTGTGGAACTCGAGCACGTGGTTGTCCGAAATGACGATGTAGTTGCTCGCGGCGAACAAACTCGACACATTGATTTCGGAAGAGAAGGCGTTGAGCAGTTTTCCGTCAAAGTCGTAAACTTTTACAAGATCTGCGTCCAGGGAGCGCGTCACGGCGCAAACGTGCTCGCCGACGAGCGCGGCAAACGTTGCTTGTTCGTAAGCGCGCAGCTTGAGCGTCCGTGCTGAGCACAAGATCCACTGCTCCACTGAAACGCACAGCAGCCACTCGCCCGAAGCGGAGAACTGCAAGTGCACAGGGATGAAATTTAGGTTGCCAAGGGAGCGCGGCGTTAGCTTCGCGTCGAGCAGCAGCGCGTCGTCAGAGGCAGAGGTCGGCGGCTGGATAGCACCAAGATTGGTTGCGAAGACCTCGGTGCCTTTCGCAAACGCAAGTCGCTGGTTTTGAGTCAACGTGTGTACGGGCGTGAGCTGTCCTAAAGTGAAGAGCTCAAACCCGTTGTCTCCGCCGACGATAAGCAGTTCGGCGACTCTGCGCAGACACCAGAGGCGCCCGAGATTTAGCATTTTCACGTGCACCAGTTTGTAGTTCTCGCTCGAAAAGAAGCGCAACACGCCGTCTTCGCAAGCGGTGATGATCATGCGCATCGCTTTGTAGTACAGCACTGCGGATACGTTTTCGCCGTGCTCACCGAGCGTGCGTTCCACGGAACGCGTCTTGAAGTTTGACACGGCCACAGTGCGGTCGTCAGACGCAGAAAGCAGCATCAGTTGGTTTGACTCGACCATGAAGCAGAACTGGTTGACGCTTTCTGTGTGTACCCGCCAGCTGGTGCCGCCTTTGTACGACTGCGCGGCAAATTCTGACGCGTTAAACGCTTTGACGTCCTCGAACATGATCGAGTTCCGCGGCACTGCCTTGATGAGCGTCTGCAGAGTGGGGTCGACGCCCCAGTAGCGCAACGACCCATCGAGCGAACTGGACAAAAATTTGAACTCTTCGCCTTCCATCCAGTCGACGTGCATTACGAAGTTGCCGTGCCCTTCATATACTGCGAGTTTCACGCACTCAGTCTTGGTGGCCAGCACAAGACTAACAGTGCCATCGTCGGACGCTGTGAGCAAAAGAGGGTAAGTGGGATGCGCAGCGAGAGCGCGGACGTAGTCGTGGTGAGCGCGAAAGTCGTAAGCGACCTCGGCGAGGTGATAGTTGATGAAGTACAAGTGCCCGTCGTTGCCGGCCGCGACCACTAAATCGAGCGGCGCGGAGACAACTACGCTGCGCAAAATGTGGTTGCTGACGTGCAGCGTGGTTGCCGACGATTCAAAGCCGTTTGGCGCGCCGTGGTTCACGCGGTGCAGAATCACAGACCCGTCGCTGTGCGCCGTACAGAAGCCACCGTTCCCGAGAAAACTGCAAGCGCTTTTGACGCGCTGCGCGCAGTAAAGCTTTACCGAGCTGCAGATCATGCCTGAACTGAAGAAGTGCAGCAGATCTACACAATTACTGCGTAGGCGGTATTCAAAAAGATTTTCAATTCCAAGAAATTACGGACGATCTGCGATCGGGCAGTCCACCTTTTTGACGCTGACGATAAAGCCGGGAGTCACCCAAGCGCCACACGTGCACGTCAACCCGCTCCAGTTGTAGCGCCCCAGTTTGGCGCGGCAGTGGCTACACAGAATCTTGCCGCTCACTCCGCAATCGGCAGCAAGAGTGAGTCGCGCATTATCCAACGGCTCGCGCAGCAAGATGCTCTGGCAGGCTGGCGTGTTAGCTCCAGCAGCAGCAGAAACGAAAGCGCCGACGCTGGGCGCAGACGGAGCGTCGCGGTACTTCCGCTTGACGGTTGACGTGTGGCCGTCTGCCAAGCACGATGCGTTGAACAGGTTAGGCGAGCAGCCGCGGCAGCGGTAAGCAGAGGCTTCTATACTGCGCTCCATCGCGAAAAAGCGGTTCCGCAAAACGCGAGTGACTTTAGCGACTGAGCGCGGAAAACTGTCCAGCTCGTTGCGCTTTAAAGCGCAGCAGCAGCACTGGAAAAAAGAAAAAATCAGTTTTTATCGCTCGCTGCGTGTCCGATCGCTGCCAGCCGAGGTGTGTAATTGAGAAGTTACCTTTGCGCTGCGCAGCTGCGCTGCGAGTCTGCGGTGGAGTACGCGTTATCTGGGTTAGGCCTGCGTACCGCAGTTGCCTAGATGTTAACGGTGTGGGTTTCTGTGCTGCAGATGCGATACGCGATCTCTTGCGTCATTTCGGTCCAGCTGAGGGCTGAGCGCACGCCCCACTTGCGCAAAATGCGGAGGCAGTTCGGAGAGTGTGCAAAGAGGCTGCGCGGCGTTAGGTTGCGTACCACTTTGAACGACTGCAAATTCGGGTCGTAGAGTTCGAGCAGACTGCGCAGCACGCAGTTCTCTGGCGTAGTTAGGTCGGCGACGCGCTTCACCACGAACGGCTCGTGCTCTGCGCAGTCGTTGGCCCGCGCCTCGGTGAATTCTTGCGCGAACGCGACTTGGTCGGAGAGCACTTCGTTGCGCGCGTGCTTGCGTTCGCGGACACACGGAATGAATTTCAGCCGTGTGCAGCTGTACTGAAAGACCGAGATTTCGTCGTCGCTGCTGCCGCCGAGCACCTCGAGCAAGACGTACATCCACTGCACGAAGTAGATTTGCGAGTGGCGAAACTCGAAGACGGAGACTTTTTCGGTCCAGTACGGTAGCACGTAGTTGTACATGGCGGTCAGGAACGAGATGGAGCGCGTGAGCAGCTGCCGCCGTTGGTACTCGCGCAGCAAGGCCATTGGGATGACGACGCAGGGCCGCTCTGTTGCGGCCGAGACGAGTGCGGCAAAGCTGAGCAGCATTTCGTCGCTGCTGATGTTGGCAGTGGCGAAGTTCGCTCTGTGCAGTTGCGCGAATTTCATGAGTGTGTCGAGCGCGCTTTCGGCGTTGGCCGAGAGGCTTGCGACGAGACAGTCTTCGAGCGAGCGGCGCTTGCCTTTCTTAACCGCGGCGTCTTCGATGAACAGCTCGCAGAACAGCTGCTCGCGGAAGCTCAGCTCGAGCAGCGCTTCTTGGAACTCTTTGAGGTGCGGCGCAACGGCGGACTCTAGCGGGATGAGCTTGAGTACGTCGAGCGCGCTGTGCATGTGTGCCATGATGATTGCGCAGAGCCGCGCGCAGTGCTTGATCAGCAGTCGATTCCACTGGACCCAGGCCGTGCAACGGCCGTAGACGTCTGCCTCGTTGAGCCAGAGGCTGCGGCGGTCGTCTTTCATGAAGAAGTTGCCGTGCAGATTGAAGTGGATGCCGAGCCGCTCGGCGTCTTGCACTTTGAAGTAGCTGAAGAGCGCGCCGCAGCAGTCTGCGGCGGTGTCGAACGCGTCATTGAACTGCGAGAGCGAGTCGCTCATGTTGAGAAACGTTTGCTGGCGCTCTAGCGCAGCGGTGGCCGGTGCGCGTCTGCCGCGCGCGCAGCTTTCGCGCAGCCGCTCGAGGCACACGCTGGCTCCGATGAGCGGGAGCTGTTCGAGTTTGTTGACTTGTTCGTCGACAGCCGCGTCGTCGATGATGCTGAGCGCGACGATGTGCGTCGAGGACTTCACGCGCTTGCCGTCGATTTTTTTCTGCAGCCGGACAGCGTACTTGTCGGTGGCGCGCGGGACGGCGCCGTTCAGGAAGTGCTTGACGAACTGCGCCTTCGACTCGAAGGGTTTGACCCCGCGCAGCAGCGAGTTTTCGCGCTGCGCGTCCCATTCGGCGTCGGCGAGGCGCAGCACGTCCTCGTCGAGGCGCAGCGCGCCGTTTTGCGTCGCGAGCGCTGCGTACTGTTTGGTGGCTTCGCATCTGGTCGCACAGCAGTCGCCGTACAAGTCAAGGCTCTGCAGCGCGACGTGCGTGACGTGTTGGAGGAACAGCAGACAGTCCTCAAGTTCGTCGGCGAAGCGTGTAAGCAGCGCTGCTATTTTTTGCGGCGCGTACTCGTGCGCGCTGATTGGCGAGAGTTGCGCGAAGCGTCCGCAGCGCAGCGGCAGTCGGATGATTGTGCCGCTGAAGTACGCGTCCTCGCGGAAGCCGAAGAGTTTGTGGAAGACGGGCAGGTGGTGGCGGTACGCGGCGCCGGGCACTGCGAAGGCGACCTTGGCGCCGCCGCTCGGCGTGAGCACGAAGCTCGGGTCGAGAAACGCGTAAAACTCGCCGGAGACGACCTGCATCACGTCCGCGAAGTGGAAGTACGAGCGCGAGCCCATGCCGAACTTTCCGATGGAAGTCACGTCCTCGTTCTTGAACGAGCTGAACATGCGCTGTAGGCTCGTCCAGTCGGTTTCGCGGAAGAGTGCGTCGTTGTAGAAGACGAGGCTCGGCCCCGAAAAGCGATCGTAGGCCGCGTCTGCGGCGGCGTGCTTGCGGTAGTCGAGCAGGATGCAGAAGTCCGAGGCCTGCGCGTCTTCCGCGTTCTGCAGCGCCTCGCGGAAGACCTGCGTGCCTTCGGGGTACTTTTCCAGCACTTTCGCCAGCTGTTCGGCCGGCGTGGGCAGCTTCAGACAGAATTCGGCGGCGGCGTATTTTTCACACCCGGCTGACATTTCATGGAGTGCACCTGTGCATGTACGACGGCTACGCAACGCGCGCGAGGTCCACTTCGGAGACGTCTACGCAGCCGAAGGCCAGACAGTGCTTGGCCTTGAGGTCCTCGAGCTGGCGCTTGACTTTCGCGCGCTCCGCGTTCGTTTTCTTGGCTTCGCGCTGCGCGGCGGCGCGGTCAGCTTCGAGTTGCTCGCTCGCGCCGCGCACGGCCTCGCGCAGCTTCTTGACTTCGTAGTAGATGTCTTTGACGGCCGTCATTTTGCGGTGGTCTAGCTCGATGAGCGCGTTCACGCTCTTGATTTTTTCGCGCTGCTGCTCGGAGAACGTGGCGAACGCGGCGAGGCAGCTCTTGCGCACCTCCTCGCACTCGCCGTGCGAGCTTGCGAGCGGCGCGGCCACGTCTGAGCTGATGGCTGCCTTTTCTTGCGCGTGCGCGATCAGCTGCTTGAGTTTCGCGCGGAAATTCTGCAGCGCCTTCGCTTCGCTGCTGACGACCTGCAGTTCGTCTCGGATGTACTGCGCGTACGAGGACGCCGGCTCGACGCTTTGAAGCAGACTCTGCACGTTGTCGACGAAGGAGGACCTGAGCCGCGCGTGGCGCGACTTACTGGCTCGCTAACTGATCCATAGCTCGCATTCGGAAATATTTACAAACGCATGCGCGGCGCGAAAGTGCGAGCGACATGCAGACGAGCCGCGAGCCAGTCGCCGCGCCGCTCTGCACGCTGCACTTCACGGTCTACCGCCACTCTGCGTTCGTGCGCCACCTCGGGCTGTTGCTGCAGCGCAAAACGGAGCTGCACTTCTTCAGCGACCGCGGCATCGTGGTCGCTGAGCGGCGCCACCCCGAACTGCCCGCGCTCGGCTGCGTGCAGTTCGTGGTCGACGAGTTCATCGGCGCGCACGCGCTCGAGCCCGAGAGCGCCGTCGCTTTCGCGCTGCGGCTCGCGCGCGGCGCCTACCAGGCTGCGCACTACAGTTTTCTGCGCCGCAACTGCATCGACTTCGTTGAAGAGCTGCTGCGGCTGCTGGGCGTGCGCGCGCCGCTGCCGCTCTACTTCCGGCTTTGCCGGCTCGCCGCGAGCCGCCTTGCGCGCACTGCGGGCCGCGAGCCCGAGACCGAGCGCGCGTCAGAGCACGCGCTCGCGCAGCCGTCTGTTGCGGCGTACCGCGGCGCTGTGTAGCCGCTGGTTTAAAAATTCAAAACGACGATGGAGACATTTTCTGGCAAGCTGTTCCCGGCTTTCGAAGCCTTCAAGTCTGCGTAGACGGACGGGAGGAACCCTTTCACTCCCATGTTGCGGTACTTCGCAATCGTGCTCTGCATCGTTTCGGGCGACACGCAGTCCCACACGCCCGAGGACGCGAGCACTAGCGTCTCGAGCTCCGGCACCAGTTGGATGGAGACGACTTCCGGCGAGCTCTGCATCAGTCGCGCGCTGTCGCTGAGCGAGTAGTTCTTGAAGCGGTGGTCGCCGATGCCGCGCGTGTTCGTCATCTGGCCCAGCAGTGCGGCGGTCCCGCCGCGCTGCGCAGCGGCTTCGAGCCGCTCCTGCTCCTTCGGGTTTTGTCGGTTGTGCCGCGCGGTGAAGTGCGTGGTGCCGTCCGAGTAGCATGCCAGCAGCGCGCAGGTGCCGAGGTTCGCCACGTGCACTGAGCCGTCAATCACGAGCGCCGTCACCGCGCTGCAGCCAGACACCTGCGCGTTACGCAGCACCGTGTTCATGCGCAGCGGGTGCATCAGGTCGCCGACCAAGTGGTTGAAGCTGCCGAGCGCGGTCGTCAAACTGCACTTGAGCACGCGGCGCCCGCCGTTCTCGAGGTCCTTCATTTTGCCGCAGCAAGGCAGGCAGCGGTTGTACTCGATCCCGTCGATGTAGTCTTCGTCCAGTTTCACGAGCTCCGGCGACTGGATCCAGCGCTTCACGTCGCGCTCGCTGAGCGGAGAGTCGGGGCGCAGCGCGTCGTTCAGCGCGATGTGCGCGTCCACGAGCGCGGCCGAGTAGTTGCCGGACGCGAAACCCTCGGTCTCGCTGATGCAGCCGTTGATCGCGTTGCGCACAAATTTGCTGATCTTGTCGCCGTTGTAGCCGTCGTAGACGCCGACGATGTAGCCTTTGCTCTTGCTGAGGCCGACAAACGGCTCCAGCAAGATTTTGTCTTCCATCGCCGTCTCCCCGCCGCGCTCCCAGAGCACTTCGAAGCTGAACAAGTCCGTTCTGGAGCTGTAAGTGCCGCTGCGTTTGGTCATGTGCACAATAATAATTTAAGAATTCGACTTTTCCGTGTCGATTTACTCGATTTCGTGGCGCATGCGTCGGCGTGCGGCGTTCTGTTTTTCGGCGGTCGCGTCGACCGCGTCGAAGGTGAGCGTTGCGAGGAGCTGCGCACGGAACGCTTCGGACGTCAAGTGGGCGGGCACGCGGAACGCGGCGTGGCGTGCGTCTTTGACGTAGACGCATTGCGAAGAGTCCGCGAACGGCAGTGGCGCTGCACCTGCGACGCGCAGCGCTGGCGGGAGCAATGCGCGCACGAGGGACCGTGTGTTTGGTGCGGCGTGCGCAGCGCGAAATGCGATTGTTTCTCTCGCTGCTCAGCTCTGTCTGCGGCGCGAAACGCGTCGTCTCCGTTGTGTAAGTTGCGCAGCGCCGCTCGCAGGGACTATGCTGCGCGCAACAAGCAACTGGTGGACGACTTGCTCGCGCGCGAGGCCTACGGCGAGCGCCAGCGCTACGGCAGTGTGCTCGACGCGAGCCAGCATCGGCTGCACCGCACACCGCTCGTGTTCACGTACGACTTCTCGTACGCGCCGTACGCGAAGGCGCCCGTGTACGCGCCGAGCCTGTTGCGGCGCGGCGGGAGCGCTGGCGCCGCCAGCGGCGCCTTCGTGCGGAACTTCGAGCGCGCGGCGTTTGAAAAGCATGTTTTCGGACAAAAAAATTCGGGCGACGAAGGAGAGTTTCGCCGCTTCGTCGAAGAGGCAAACATTGCGTACCCGGAACTAGGCTTCGCACCAGTGCAAAAAACGGACTACTTCATTCCTGTTCACGTCTCGAAAAAACAGAACGCTGGCTGAGCGCATGGCTTCTGCGCTAACCACGCGGGTAGCGTACTTTTTCGAGCACCAAGAGCACGTCGTTCTTGCTTAGCAGATCGGGCGGCTTTCTGGGGCTCACGATTTCGTCGTTGCACTTGTAAGTGCCGGATTTATCGAGGACTAGAGCAAGATAGTGGGCTCTAGTTGCCTTATCCCCCGAGGAAAACTTATCTGTTTTGGGCTCCCGGTATCTTACAATGGCTCGCAACTGATAGTACTCCTTTTTGCCGGAAACGTCGTTTCTTAAGTACACGGTTCTGTAACTGTCGTCGAAACCTAAGAAAACTCTTTCAATAGGCATCTGCCACACCATTTGCAGCAGTAGCACGCGCGGCTGAATGGCCTTTTCGATGCTCTTCACGCACTCCACCTCTTTCTTGCAGTGTTTGCAATCGCGCTTGAAAACCGTTTGCTCGTTGAAAGCTGCGTCGACAAGGTCCTGCAAACGTACAATGTGGGAGTTCGATTCTTCTACCAGTTGCATGTCTTCCATAGCAACCGATAAAAAGCCGAATTCATTTCCATCCTGCCATCTGCCTTGTTCATCGAAGTCGGGCTCCGCCCTGACTGAGGCCGGCAACGGCGCTTCTCTGTGGTTTTTGCAGGCGTCGGTTTTACTTTTGTCCCAACACACAGTGTCGTAGTTTTTATCTTTACACGAAGTTTCGATCCACTTGCTCAGCGAAACTGAGTGTGGGTCGGACTTCGGCTCAGCAGAAGCAACGCATTTATTCTGACCGTTACAAGCTCCGTTCGTTTCCATTATCTCAGCAGAATGGATCGGGCGATGACTCGTGAAGGAATACGGGTTCACCTCATCTAGCTTGTTCTGCGACCAATTCGCCCAAGCCTGAATATCTGCAGGCAAAAATGTCTTTGTCCTTGCAGCGGGGTTCAAAAACAGCAAGTCTTCGTCATCAGGACAGAGCGGAAATTGCGGTTGCGAGTCGTTCAATTCCGGTTTCGGAACGATGCTAGGTTGGAGAGTCAGCGTGGCATCAGTTGGTTCACGCTCAGTTGAAAAGCCCTGCGGTACGGAGTTGGGTTCGTCTTTGTACATCATTTGCATCAAGTTCCTAGTTTCACGTGGATCGCATGTATTCAGATCTAAATTCTCTAGTTGCTGTGTGAGCGGTTCTGCTTCCAGCTGCGGATCATAGATAGGGTTCTTCACTGTTGTCACCTTCGGCCGTTGACCGCTAGGCACGAATGAATCTATCCCCCCTAGTACGTCGGTTGTGGCTTGCGACTCATCAAAAGAGCTGGGCTGTGCTGATGAGTCGCACACATCATGAGCAAGGCTGTCCTGATTTTCGAGTGGTGTTGCCAACGTGACGATTGAAGGGTGCAGTGCGGCCGGCAAGTGTTGGTAATGCTTGGCTCGGCGTTTGACTAAGCGCAAAGGAATTGGCTGCTTATCCGCTACAGTTTCGTGGTTGATGTAGATGAAATTAGAGTTAGAAGTTTGGCACACTCTGCGCTCCACAATTCCGCAGCCCGTGCACGTAAAAGCTTCCGAAGAGAGTCCTGTATAGGCTTCGACCCACCTGCTAGGGTACGCAGAGTATTGCTCGAGATGTTGCTTCCAAAGATCAGCGTAGATTTTGCAAAGTTTAGCTTTGGTGATCGAATTAGCGCCTCTAAACAACCCAGGCTGCACCAGATTACCAGTGTTATTTGAATTTTTCTGCAAAAAAGTTTTGAACATCGTATTCAAGAATTCTGCTGTATCGTTCTCTTTGGTCCAGTCCCAGTTTTTGAAAGTGTCCAACGTTGAAAGATATAATTTGAATTCATATAGCTCTTCCATAGGAACTGGCTGATCAGTAGAAAAGCGATTGTAATACAACCGACACAGCATTTTGTGCATGAGGGCGATATCGTTGGGGGCACAACCGTTAGTCAGACTCAATGTATGAGAGTCCGTAAAAATCCGAGGACTGAGTGCGAAAATTGCCTGCAAAGCTGCTATTATGTAGCAGTCATGCTTTGCATTGAGGAATCCTCGTATTGAGCTCATCAGGTGAAAATTTCGACTGAATTAAGTAGACTTTATTGCACTTAATTTTTAATTTTTTTCAAAATGCTCGTTGTATCAATCGGAACGGCAATTTTTGGATTGATCGCATTAGTCTTGTTTCTTGTGCTTGAACTGCTTCTCAACAAACAAAGTTGCAATAAATCTAGAAGGCTAAATCGGCAGATCATTTTGCTTTGCGGCGTTGGCTATCCTTTCTGTGCGTGGCTCTTGTAAGTAAAATTCGCAATTGCTTAGATGGATTCTCGCTTACGCTGCGCAATACCGCCCCATCCTCGAGCCCACGCCCGGCCACGCTTGAGCGGGGTTTCTTTGAGTTGAGCAAGTCACGGTTCCGTCCGCTTGGCAGTAAGTCAAGCCGAAGTTGCTATGGTAAAATGTCAATTTGCAACTGACTAGCATGCAAATGTCAAACTCAAAGCAGCGTTCCTGCTGATCACAGGCACAGTTCTGCGCTTTTAAATACTTGACGTATGCGTCGAAGCGCGACGTCGTCAAATCAGCAGCAAACAAGGAGCTGGTTTCACTTTTTCCCAACTGGTCGTTGCACACCCAAGCAGCGAGATAGTCTGCGAGACTTGTAAACAATGACTGAAGTGAGTAGCTGAGCAAAACAGGGTTGAGTGATCTGAGTTCATCAGCTGTCAGGTGCTGAGAACAATGTGTTTGTGCGAGATATAGCGCAATGCTCGATTGCTCGTTTAGCCATGATAAGTTGCATATCGATCGGATGTTTTGCGCGTCGCTCTCTAACAGAGAGTTGGGCATCGAAAGATTGAAAACGTAAATCAGCAGAGCGGGGCAAAATAGTAATAAGAAAATTGCGTCTCGTTGTTTCTGCTCGCAAATGTACGAGAAAATGAGAGGCGATTCGAAGTTGAAAGTTTTGCTATTTGTGAAAAGAGTAAGTAACTTGTTCGCGTTGATGTGCTGTCTATGATCATGCGGGTTCGACAGAAGAAGTGACAGTGCTCGGTAACGCTGCACAGTGCTGATCAAATCTAGTGAAAGCGGATCAAATTCACTGCAGCCATTTTGGAGAAATTTTACGAAAGTGGCATAATATGGTGAAAACAAAGTTTTCCGAATCGTTTCGCTACTACGCTGCGTGCTGCTCCATGGTATGCACTCGTACTGGTTAGGAGATCTGTAAACGATACTGACGCCAAATTGAGCGCAAAGCAGAGTGTTGCTCAGCAACACTGGAATGGCGGAGTTCAAAACCAGAGTTGCATGGAAATGCACTGCTTCTAGCATTGAAGCTGAGCTGCTTGCATTTTTGGTTATGAACTCGTCTAAGCTCACTGCGCTCGAGTGTATACAGTCGCTTAGTAAATTTTCGCCAAGACGGTGCATCATGGTTGACTCACCGTAGTGTAGTCCGGCAAAGTGGTTTTTATAAAGCTGAGCCGCATTTCGGACAGCTGTGATCGCATCAGCTAGGATTGAGAAAATGAAGTAAGCCGTGTTGTCGCTAATGCTGCCGTTAATGCTAAAAATAACTAGTTTCGCATCCTTGTGTAGAAAGTAAAGGTTGTTGACGGCACGGAGATCTGAAGTTAGCAACTCGTCTCCGCTGAGAAGCTGCGAAAAAAGAATGCAATTGCTAGATTTGAAAGTCTGGTTCACGACGCCTTTGTCATCGAAAACTCCATTCGTTGTCAGATGACTAAAAAATTCAACAAAATAGTTTCGCAGTGATGAAAGTGGATCATGCAGCGAGAAGTCTTCGTAAAAAAAACCGTCTTCTGCTGTTATAATTTCATAATCCATCATTTGACGACCAGTGCAGCAGCACTACGGTGCAGGGTTCGCTGGGAGTAGATTACAAATCGAGTTAATTCTTAATTTGATCGAAATTAATTTTATTTTATTCTGGTGTTCAAACATGGCGTGGGTTCAAACGAGTCGTTGGCTTGATAGTGGCATCTTGGGATTGCTTCTCATTCTGGTGTCTAGGTAAGTTCAGGCGATTAGCAATGCAGTATATGCCTTCACTTGTTCTCTTACACGATGAAGCTGCTGAGCACTGCACCGATGAACAAATATCCTTTGTACAAAACGCTCACCATGTTCATTGGAGGAAGATCTTTTGATTACAACATAAGCCACATCTTATTGTTCTCAATTGTGATATGTCTGCTGTCGCTGAGACCGGACTTCGAGTTGCGCAAGTTAAGTGACTCGTGCTGCAAAAGAAGTTGCGAAAACTCTGATCGCGCTTCGTGTGTGAAGAAGTAATGTGCATTAAGCTCCACTAATTGACTCTACATGTTATAGCCTGTTTAGCACGCGCAGCGCGGAAATTGTCATAAATAATGCGCTTCCAGGGCGCACTGAAGTTTTTCCGTGTCCATTTTCAATGAAGAAAAGCGTGCAACTTAAGAACGAAGAAGAGGCTCTTGCTGAAACTGAGCAAGGCACCGAGGAGCAGGAAGTCTTTGTCGAAATTGATAAGCTTCAGGACCTAGGCATCAACGCTGCAGACGTCGCCAAGCTTAAACAAAGTGGCTACATGACAACACTCAGCGTGATTCAAAGCACTCGCAAAGAACTATCTAGCATTAAAGGGTTTACTGAAGCGAAGGTTGAGAAAATCATTGAATGCGCCCAGAAGATCGAGCAGGCAGACACGTTTACATCTGGGAAATCGCTGCTTGAGAAAAGGGCAAGCCTGGTCCACATTACAACGGGTTCGAGCGATCTAGATACACTGCTTAAAGGTGGCGTTGAAGCTGGATCCATGACTGAAATCTTTGGCGAAAATCGTACCGGAAAGACGCAGTTTTGTCACACGTTGTGTGTTACCGCTCAGCTTCCGCGAGAGCTGTGCGGAGGCAATGGGAAGGTTTGTTACATAGACACAGAGGGAACGTTTCGCCCGCAGAAAATAGCATCGATCAGCGAGCGATTTAGCCTTGATGTTGACACTGTATTAGACAATATCATGTACGCTAGGGCCTTTACACACGAGCATCTTATACAACTAATTTGCTTGGCTTCTACTAAAATGGTCGAAGAACCCTTCAGTTTGTTAATCATAGACAGCATAATGTCACTCTTCCGCGTTGACTTTTTAGGACGAGGCGAACTGTCAGAGCGGCAGCAGTTGTTGGGACGCACATTGAACCGTTTGCAAAAGTTGGCAGACCAATTCAACATTGCAATTGTGTATACAAACCATGTGATGTCTGACCCATCCGGAGCTATGACAATGGCTGTTAATCCCGTGAAACCAGTGGGAGGTCACGTCCTTGGACACGCTAGCACTCACAGACTTATGTTTCGAGTTGGAAAAGGAGAGCAGCGTGTATGCAAAGTGTACGACAGCCCAATTCTGTCTCCAGGAGATGCAACATTCCAGCTTTCAAATCAAGGAATTATCGATCCGGCAGATTGATCATGACAAACCCTATCTCATATTATTTAAGGACAAAGTAATTAAGACAAAAAGTCACAGTAGAATTTGAGCATACTTGGTGCAGCGCTTCACAAGTCATGGCAGCGTGCGTCTGCAAGGCTGAACGCCTACGTAGCTATCTGGAAAAGGCTTCTTCAGGCAAAAACTCCTCTATATCTTTTCTCCAGAACGCAAGCTTACTTGAAATTCAGAAGCTCTTTGCTTTGCTCGATCTTTTTTTGAGCCGTACCAGATCTAAAAATCATGATTCTGTTTATTCCGCGTTGCTTGCCACGTACTCTAATTCTAATATGACTGGGAGCCACTGTGATGTGCAGTTCGCAAATGCTGCTTTGCATCAGTTTGAGATTGGGAAAGCTATCTCTTCTTTAGAAGAGTTGGACCGTAATCTGAAGCTTCGGCTAGGTAATCTTACTATGCTTTTATCTTATCTGCGGTATTTTAATGAAGGTTGTTTGCGGACGATAGGAAAACGGTACGATTGTGACTTGACAGCTTTCAAAGCGCTCGCAATTTATTCGAATCTTGTTCAATATAGCCAAACGAAATCTTTGTTTCAACGCTTGCACCAATTGCAACGTAATCTCGAGATTCATGCAGCTTTCATCCTAACCAGTATAAGGCACCTTGCTGAAGTTTTGGCCGCGCTGAAGCATCATCGATACAAGATTCTAAGTGCTCATATCGCACAAGTTTATCATAATGCTATTTCGCGAAAAACTGCTATCAAATCAGCTATTGAATGCACATCAAGCTGCTCTGCATATCGTAACATTTATTTACGTCTGCTGAATCCGTCAGCAGGAAGTACTGATTACGAACTAAACCGTGAATCTGTACCACAGAACTTGCTTAACAAGGTACTCGACTTGTCGAAAAACGAAACAATGCATGATCTTCAGGAGTATGCTTATCACTTGATTCGTGGAACAGAAAAGCTTCCGTCACATCTTGGATATTTAGACGATATATGCAATGAAGTTAGCTTAAAGGCAGATACGAACAGACGCCCTCCAGCTAAACTTGAAGCGGTGCTTCTGTTCTTTAAACAGGCATTTGCGCAACAAAAAAAGGCAACTGACGAAGATAATCTCTGTTTCAGATCCGCGAGATCAGAAGAAGACTTGCAGTTAAAGCTTTCTGTAGCTTGTATCAGCAGCCTTGTTTCTTATTTTGGTAATAATGATGCGATTAAGGAGACTGGACGTAGTGTGGAGCTTCAGAACACTTTCACTATTAAGGTGGCGGATGTGTGGGATAGCAAGGCGTTTGACACCGTGTGGGAATCAATCAAATCAAGGTTTCTACTTCACCATAATGACTCGAGGATTGAAAATTGCGCTAGGTACTTGACTAAAAGCGACACAAGCATATCATGGCTTCTCACCGATACTTCTGAAATCGAAAAGCTAAAGAGCTTATCCAAACATGATTCAACTCTGATGCAGCAGTTGACTCTGGCTCATAAAGTTATCATGCCTTTGCTTAAGGCTGAGACTCGCTTGCATCTGCTGGCCCGCTCTCTCTCGCTTGACAAAAAAAATTGTGTACCAGTAACCATGGAATTCGCGCTAGAGAAGCTGATGACTTTATGTGATCAGCGCGCGAAATGCATGAAGAGACTGCAGGCGAATCAGCGGCAGCTTCGAATGCGATTGCAAAAGCTTGAACAATCAAATGAGCGACTTAGAGCAAAATTTTTGCACGTCTCTCAGCTGATGGCTAAAGTTTCTTTATTGAGGGTTGCAAAGGCTAGCGATTGCGAATTGTCTAACTTGGGCTACGTGTTTGCGCGCGGCGCTAAGATTTACTTCCTTCCACCTGACGAAAGTTTCGTTCGAAATGTCGCGCAATTGCATACGCTGCTGCAGAAACTCAATTCTTGTCTAGCGAAGAAGGAGGTTGGAGAAGCGGGCAGCGGCACAGAAGTGGATGCGGTGAGCGCGCTGGCCGAGAAATTAAACAAAGCGAGTGTTTTAGCGCAGCGCGTGTTACAGCGCACTGCCTAGGACTACGTGGAAGTCGTGTCGCTCACCGAGTAAGCTTTAAGCTCCTCGGGAGTCAAATATTTGAGTACGTTTGCTTTCTTTGCTGCGTCGTGCGTGATAATGAGCACGTCTATGAAATCCGGGGAGCAATCGATGACTTTGCTCGCGGCGTTCAGTCCAATTTTGACGCACTCGGCAACCGGCTGGTTTTTCTTATAGTTTTCCACCAAGTATTTTTGAATGGTTTCTTCGTTGGCGCCGAGTGCGGCTGCGTCCCAACCGGAGTAGATGCCGTGCGTTTCGCACTTGTAAACGTGCGGAATACCTTGGAAGTCGAAGCCCGCGATGATGGCAATGATGCCGAAAGGACGGACGCGGCCTTTGATGGTGTAGCGCTGAAGCGTTGACGCGACGCGTTCAGCGACGAATTTTGCATCGGCCTCGACATCACTGGTGGCGAGGTGGTATGCTGCGTCGTCTCGCACCAAGTTAACAAGTGCGACGCCGTCGGCCGAGAGCCCGGCAAAAACTGCGACCACGGACTTGTTTACCTCCTTAATCTTCTTATTAGTGGCAGCATTCTGCAGTTGGTTCTTCAGTCGCTTTTCGGAGACGATGACGATGCAGCCTTCGCCGGTGAGCGCGACTACAGAACTGCCTTTGCGCGCAGCCTCGGAGGCGTTGCGCACCTGCCGGAGGTGCCCATCCGGTGAAAAAATGGTGGTTGCGTTGTCGTAGCCGGTCATTCGGTTCGGGTAGTTCGGCGCGATTAACGCTAAATTATCGTAATTAAATTTAGCTCCGGTTTGTGGTCAGCTGCGGGAGCCACGCTGCGCTTCCGAAGAAGCGGGTCGAGCAGGCTCGTCGCAGTTTCCTCAAAAATAAATTGCGCCGTTTGCATTGTTCGCGCGGTGACGGCGCAACGTAATATTACATTCGGAAATTGTCGCGGACCGCGAAACGTGCATCGCGAATTCAACTAGCCAGATGATGAACTCGGTGCAGTTGCCTTCGCAGATGCAGTTGATGCGGAACCGCTACGAACTGCGCGGGTTGCTGGGCGTCGGCAGTTACGGTCGCGTTTGGGCCGCGTACGACCGCGTTCTGAAAAAGTTGGTCGCGGTGAAGCGAATCAACAAGTTGTTTAGCGACTTGACTGACTGCAAACGAATTTTGCGGGAAATCTGCATCTTGAACCGGCTGCCGAACCACAACAACATTGTGAAGCTGCTGGACTGTTTCATTGACGAAGAACAGACGATTGAAAACTTCGACACGTTGTACTTGGTGATGGACATTTCGGACTCGGACCTGCGGAAAATCTTGAAGCAGAACGTGTACTTGACGGAGATGCACGTGCTAACACTCATGTACCACTTGCTTTGCGGAATCTTGTACCTGCACTCTGCCGGCATCTACCACCGCGACTTAAAGCCGGCGAACTGCCTGGTGAATCAGAACTGCACGGTCAAAATCTGCGACTTGGGTCTGGCGCGCACCGTGGCGGACCGGAAGGCGAAAGAAGAAACGGACTTGCCGCTGAAAGAAAACAGGCAGCGCGCGTTGAAGAACCAACTGACCTCCCACGTGGTCACTCGTTGGTACCGCGCGCCGGAGCTGATTTTGCTGCAGCCTAACTACGACGAAAAAATTGACGTGTGGAGCATCGGTTGCATTTTCGGCGAGTTGTTAGGCATGATTCAGCAGAACTGCAGCAACTACCATTTGCGCGTGCCGCTGTTTCCCGGCAAGCGGTGTTTTCCGCTGAGCCCGATGGCGCGCGAAAACGACACTCGCGGGCTGAACGCGCGGCCGAAAAAAGACCAGCTCTCTTACATTTTCGACTTGCTGGGCACGCCGAGTGCCGAGGACATTAGAATGTTGGAGCGCGAAGACGCGCGCGCGTATGTGCGACTGTTCCACCCGCGGACCACCGTGAATTTGCAGGAAAAGTACCCTGCTGCGAGCTCGGCGACGGTCGACTTGCTGAGCAAGATGCTGGTGTTCAACCCGACCAAGCGAATCAGCGTGATTGACGCGTTGCTGCACCCGGCGCTGGACAGCGTGCGCGACGAGCACGACTTTTTGGTAGCGCGCGAGAAAATGGTGCTGCCGTTTGACGAGACGAAGCGACTGAGCGAGCAGGAGCTGCGCATGTCGCTCGCGGCGGAGGCGCGGAAATTTAGCGGCGAAGACTTGCGCTGCAGCAACTCGCCGTTCGCGAAGAGCAGCTTTTCGAACGCGCTGAGCACGACGGAGTGCGAGTTCGACACGGACTTGGCCTCGATAGACGAGTTGTCTTCGAAAGAGTACAAGCAGCAGCCGTACCACGGGCGCTCGAAGCCGGTGTTGCGCGAGGTGGTGTGTCACCGCTGCCGCGGGCGCGGCGAGCGGTGCGGCGGGCACGCGCCGGTGGCGCAGCCGGAGAGCGCGCTGCTGCAGCGTTGCGCGCCGGGCAGCGCTTACCAGAGTCGCGTGTGAAGCGCGCGTTAGTAGACGTAGAGCGCGGGGTTGATGTTGTTGGGCATCGGTTCGATGGTGACGCCGAGCTCCTTTTCGACTTTGAACAGGTTGAAGCGGTCCGCGTAGGTGACGAGGTTGATCGCCAAGCCCTTGTTGCCGAAGCGGCCGCTGCGGCCGATGCGGTGCAGGTACGTGGCGGTGTTGGAGGGGAAGTCGAAGTTGATGACGACGTTGACTTCTTGCACGTCGATGCCGCGCGCGAACAGGTCGGAGCAGACGAGCACGCGGTAGGTGCCTTGCAGAAAGTCGTGGAAGATTTGGTTGCGTTCGCTTTGCGCGAGGCGCGAGTGGATGTAGAAGCAGCTGTGCCCGAAGGAGGTGACGAGCTTCGCGAGCGTCTCGAGCCGGTCAATGTAGTTGCAGAAAATGATGCACTGGTTGAAGTTGAGCGTGTGGAGCAGCGTGCGCAGACACTGCAGTTTTTGTTCGTCTTGCAGGAAGGCGTAGTACTGCTTGACGCCCTCGAGCGTGAGGTTTTGCATAAGGTTCACGAAGCACGGGTTGAACACATGCGCGTCGACGAAGGTTTTGACGGCTTGCGGGAACGTCGCGCTGGTCAGCACGATCTGGCACTTGCGTTTGCTGGGTGTGTAGCTCTTCAGGATCTGCGTGACGGTTTCGGCCATGTGGTAGCCGAGCAGGCGGTCGGCTTCGTCGAGCACGATCATTTTGCAGCGCTGCAGCTTCAGGAAGTCGCGGTTGCAGAGGTCGAGAATGCGGCCGGGCGTGCCGACGACGACCTGCACTTGGAAGTAGAGGCGCAGCGCGTCCTGGCGGATGTTGGTGCCGCCGGTCGCGACGAGCACGCGTAAGTCCATGTACTTGCCCATTTGTTTGGCGATGTAGGAGACCTGCATGCTCAGCTCGCGCGAGGGCGTGAGGATGAGCGCCTGCACGTGGCGCGCGGAGGTCTGGATTTGCTCGAGCATCGGGATCAGGAAGGCTGCGGTTTTGCCGGTGCCGTTTTTCGAGCGGATCAGGATGCTGTAGCCCGCGAGGAAGAGCGGGATCACCATTTCCTGCACGGGGCTCGGCGCGCGGTAGTGCAGGTGTTCGAGTCCCTTCATGAGCGGTTCTTTCAGGTAGTAGTCTTCGAAACTGGAGGTCGAGGTGAGCGTGACATCGGCGGTGCGTTCGTGTAGCGGGACGCGCTCGATGACCGGCCGGTTGTTGCTGACGGAGATGGTCGTGCCGCTGGTGCCGGCGCTGAGCCGCAGCACGTCTTCGATTTCGCGCGCCTTGGCGTCGTCCGCGGCGGCGTCGGCTTCCGGCGCGTCGGTGCGCTTGCTGGGTTCCGCGCGCGGGCCGGCTTCGCGCGGCTGCGGTGCGGCGACGGAGGGCTTCGCACAGCTCTCTGGCGGCTCGGCGGCGGTCTCGCCGCTTGGCTTGCGCGCCGCCTCGTCTGTCGACGCGTTTGCGAGCGTGTCGAGCAGCGTGTCAGCCGGCTCGGCGGCGGGCTCGGCCGGCGGCTCAAGGACCGCCGACTCGGCAGCTGGCGCGGCAACTGCCTCTGCGGCTGGCGCGGTGACTGTCTCGGCGCCGGAGTCGGCGGTTGAGTCGGTGGTCGGCGCGGCGGCGGAGTTGGTGGCGGCGGGTTCGGCCTCGCCGCAGGCCGTGGAGCAACTCGTCCTGCAAAAAGCTTCTTTGGCGCAATCTTCGTCGCTCGACGGCTCGCGCTGGGGAATAACGTCGAAGTCGAGCGGTTTGCTCACCTCGAACTCGGGCACTAACATGGTGTGGAATTTGGTAGATTTAAATAGTATTTAGAATTCTAGAAAACTGCGCAGCGAGTTGCGCGGCGCGGCGGCCGCCGGGGCGCGCGGCGCGGGCCGGCGGCAGGCGCGCCGCATTTAATGTTTCGACTTTTTTAATTTGATTATCGTAAACATGAGCCACTCGTTCGATCGCGTCGCGCGCCACGACGTCGCACAGAACGCCGCGGTGGAGGTATACTGCTGCGCGCGTTCGGGGCTGACGGTCTGCTTTTTGCGCAGCGAGAACCCGGTGGTGCGGCTGAGCTGCTTGGTCCCGACGCTGGGGCAGGACGACGGCGGCGAGCCGCACTGTCTGGAGCACATGGTGTTCCGCGGCTCGCGGCGGCACCCGGCGGTCGGCTCGCTCGACGCGCTGGCGAACATGTGCATGAGTTCCGGCACAAACGCGTACACGGCGGGCGACCGCACCGTGTACACGCTCTCGTGCGGCAGCGCGGAGGGGTTGCAGCAGGTGCTGCCGGTGTACCTGGACCACGTGCTGTACTGCGCGCTGAGCGCGGCGAGTTTCCGCTCAGAAGTGTTCCATGTGGACGAGCGCGGCGTGCCCGGCGGCGTGGTGTACAGCGAGATGGAGAGCGCGATGTCGCGCGCGCTGGACAGCGCGTACTACCGGCTGCTCAAGTTGTTCTACGGGCCGGCGAACCCGCTGAGCCACAATACCGGCGGCGCGCCGGCGGAGATCGAGCGGCTGTCGCTGGAGCGCGTGCGGCAGATGCACGCGCGGCACTACCACCCCGACAAGCTGCTGCTCGTGCTGATCGGCAACGTGGAGCCCGCGCCGCTGCTCGAGGCGCTCGGCGCGTACATCGCGCAGCACGTGCCGGCGCGCGCGGTAGACCGCGCCTCGCCCTACGCGCAGTGCTTCGAGGTGCCGCGGCATGTCAGCGCGGGCGTCGAGCGGCTCGAGTACCCGAGCAGCGACGCGAACGACCTCGCCTACCTGTGCCTCGCGTTCGACGGCGGCCGCGCGGGCGACGTCGAGCAGCTGCTCGCGCTGCAGTGCGTGATCGACTACTTGTTCAAGGGCGCGTCGAGCCCCGTGCAGCGCGAGCTCGTGAACGTTGCGGGCAGCCCGCTGGTGCAGGTGGAGAGCGAAGTCATCGCGTACGCGCGCATGATGCTGCTGCTCTGCTTCATTTGCGTGGGCGAGTTCGAGCCCGCGCGGTTCACGGCGCTGGTCGAAGCGCTGGTGAGCGGCGCGGCGCCGTTCGACGCTGAGCGGATGGACGACATCGTGCGGCAGTCGCTGAACCTGCGCTACGAGCAGATCGCCGAGAACCCGCAAAAGTGCTTCTCGGAGCGCATCTTCACCTGGTGGCTCTACGGCGACGAGCGCGCGCTCGGCGGCGGCGAGCTGCCGCGCTTTCTGGAGCAGGAGGCGCTGCTCGAGTCGCTGCGCGCGAAGCCGCCGCGCTACTGGCTCGACGTGGCGAAAGTCTTTCTGCAGCCACACTGTCGCGCCGTGCGCTGCGTGCCGAGCACGGAACTCAGCGCGCAGAAGGCGGCGCAGCGCGCGAGCACGATCGCGCGCAACCTCGCGGAAGGCCGCGGCGCGCCGCTGCAGGATGAGCGCTGCCGCGACGCGGTCGAGAAGCACCTCGCGCAGTTCCGCGTGATTTCGGACCTCGGCGCGCGCTCGGCCGCCGCGCTGCGCGAGCAGTTCGTCGAACGGAAGGTGCGCTTCGAGACGCTGCGCGGCGCGTTGCCGCTGCTCGTCGGCCACCGGCTCGCGCGCTCTCCGGTGGTCGAGGTCGAGCTGTACCTGAACGCGCTGGCCGCGGCAGAGTGCTACGACGCAGACGGCGCGTTGCTCTCGCTCGCAGCGCTGCTGTCGCGCGAGCTCGCGGCGGCCGACGGCGCAGACGCGCCGAAGGGTCGCGGCGGCGCGCGCGCGCCTTCCGCTGTGGAGAACGCGAAGCAGCTGGCCGTCGTGCAGCGCTTGCTTGCCGCAGAGAGCGGCTCCGCAGAGCCGAACGCGGAGCCGAACGCGGAGCCGAACGCGGAGCCGAACGCGGAGCCGAACGCGAAGCCGAAAGTGGAGCAGCCAATGTCGGACGCGGAGCCGGATGCGGAGTGCGTTGAAGCCCCGGCGCTCTCGCTGCGCGCGTTCCTCAGCCGCTTCTCGGTGGGGCACTTGGTGCCGCTGCTGACCAACTGTTTCTTCGAGTGTCCGGTATTCCTCGACGCGGCCGACCGCGCGGCGCTGCGCTGCGACGCCAGCCTGCTGCAGCCCGAAGAGCTCGACAACTTGCTGAACGCGTGCACGATCTCCTGCGAGTGCGACGAAGGCTCCGCATCCAGTAAAAGCTTGCAGGAGTACCTGCACTTCCGCGTGAAGACTACGCAGGCCGACGCAGACCGCGCGCTGCGGCTGCTGCGGCTGACGTTGCTCAATACGGTCGTCACCGAAGAGCGGCTGCGCACGCTGGCGCGCAAGTGCTACGGCGAAGTGCTCGAGCTGTCGCGCGAGGGCGCGAAGCTCGTGTCGTGGGGGCTGCTGCACGAGCAGTTCGCGGGCAGCGACTCGACCGCGCTGCTCAGCTCGCTGTTCGTCCAGGCCGAGCTCTGCAAAATGGTGCTCGCCCACCCCGCGGTCTTCGCGTTCCTGCTGAACGGCCTGCTGGCGCTCTGCAGAGCGAGCCTGGCGCTCGCCGGCCGCTCGCGCGGAAAACGCGACAACCAGTCTTTCTTCTTTCTGTTGGCCGAGCAGAACGCGACCGCGGCGCTGCACGCACGGCTCGCCGAGCACTTTGCGCTGCCGCCGTTCGCGCCGCGCGCGCTCGAGCGCGGCTTGGTGCAGAACGTGCTCGCCGAAAGCGCAGAGACGCTCCGCAAGCGCGGCAGCATCTGCCGGCCTTGCCAGTTCGCGCTGAGCACGAAGGCCAGCGACACGGCGCACCTCGAGCTCTGCGTGAAGATCCCCGACGCGGCGTTCGCCGTGCTCGCCGAGCACTACGGGGTGCCGCTCTCGGCGCTGTGCGACCCCGCGTCGTTCGAGTTCGTCAGCCGCTCGGCGGTCTTCTGCGTGCTCAACGAGCACTACTGCTCGACCGAAGGCCCCTTCTTCCAGAGCGTGCGCGACAGCGGCGCCGCCTACTGCGCGTACGCGTACTTCGACCTCGAGCTGCGCACCGTGCACTTGGTGCTCGGCCGCTGCTCGCGCGTAGAAGTCGCGTACCGCGTCGCGATGCACGCGCTGCAGCGCAACGCCACCAACCCGCCTTCGGAGAAGAACTTTTTGCACGCGAAGAGCGCCGCGCTGTACTCGCGCATCCGCTCGTACGACACCACCAGCTCCGTCGCGCGGCAGCTCACGCAGGGCGCCGTCCGCGGCATCGACATGTTCGATCTGCTGCTGCGCACGAACGAAGTGAGCTTCGCGCTCTTCCAGAAAGTCAACGTGCTGGTCATCCAGCAGCTGCTGAACGTGGCAGAAGCGATGGTGGGCGTGCACGGCGAGCCGAGCCGGCTCGACGCGCTGCTCCGCTGCGCCGACAGCGACTTCGACCCCGCGTGGCGCATCCGCGCGACGCCCGTCGAGGAGCAGCGCTTCATCCAGTGCATCGTCGCCGGGTCTGCTGACGGGTCCGCTGCCGGGTCCGATGGCGGGTCCGCTGGCCGGTCCGAAGCAGTCTAGCGCTTCGTCGCGGCGACGCGCAGCGGCTGCGGCTCGCGCTTGCGGTAGCGCACGCCGAACAGCAGCTCGACGATGTTGAACATTTCGTGCGTCACGGCGTGCGCGTTTCTCCATGTAATCCTTTGCTGACCGCGCACGCACTCGAAGCGCTGTGACGCGAAGACGCGCTGCTCGAAGTCGATCGGGCACGGCGTAGCCACTTTGGCGCTAGGCACCGGAGCTGCGCGCGCCGCGCAGGGCTGCAGCCCGCTGCGCGGCAGCTCGAACGCCGCGGAGCCGCCGAGCGCGAGACAGCGCGCGCCCGGCTCGTCGAAGACGAAGTGCAGCGGACACTCGCGCCCGCGCGGCACGCACAGCCGCGCGCGCAGCGCCTGCGGACCGCGCGACTGCAGCCGCTCCTTTTCGCGGAGCGAGAGCGCACACGGCCAGCGCAGCCGACACTTCACCGTCAGCAGCGCGACGTCCAGGTCGCGCAGCGGCAGCTCGCGCACGGCCTCCTCGCAGCGCGAGAACGCGCCGTCGAAGCGCACCGGCACGCACGCGCCCGCCACGTACACGAAGTCCAGCGGACAAAAGCTTGCCTCGAAGCCGTAGACCACGCACTCATCCGCGCGCGGAGCGCCCGCGCGCGCCGCACTCGCGCGCGCCGCACTCGCGACGCTCTCCTCGAGCGCCGCAGCGGGAAGCTGCGCGCGCTCCGTGGCGCTCTGCTGCTGCAGCGCGAACGTCTGCTTCATCGCCGCGACCAGCTCCGCGTCGGCCGGCAGCGTGTCCACCGCATGCGCCGCCGCCTCCCGCGCCCACGTCGAACCCTGCACGCTCGGCAGCGCTGCAACTCTCTCCTCCAGCGACGTGGCGGCCGCGTCGACCTTCGCCGAGGCGTCCTTCAGCAGCGTCTGCAGCTGCAGCTGCGGCAGCGTTCGCTGCGGCTCCTGCATGAGCACCACGAGAGCCGTCGGCACGATCCGTTTGATCTCTAGCATCGATCGTTCATTGCAATATTTTTATATATTCATTTGCCCCGGCGCCCGGCGCGCGGCGCGACGACCCGCGCTACACTGCGCCGGCGTGCGCACTCTTCAGCATGTACTCGTTCACGTCGCCGTCCGGCGACTCGCGCTTGAGCACCCACAGCAGCGCGAACACCAGGCTGCCCGCGAGCAGAATCCAGAAAATTATCGGCAGCACGAACTTGATCAGGACGAAGAGCAGCAGCGCCGCCCACATCACGAACAAAGCTCCCTTGCTCGTCAACACGATCTTCACGACGTCCAGCGGCGACGGCGCCGCGTCCGCGCCCGGCTCGCGGCTCGCCTGCTCCGCGCTTTCGACGTAGCCGCTTCTCCCTTGCTCGCTCTTCATGTTTTACTGAGCACCAATTTTGAGTGCGGCTTTTTTTGCCCGCTCCTTTTCCGGGCTGGCTGCCCGCTGCGAACTCTCCGGCGCAAAATTACACGAACACGCGTAACTGAATATTCCGCGCTCATCGCAAGAATGGACCCCCCCGGCGCGGCCGCCGCGACGCGGCCTCCGCTCTCCGCGAACCGCTGGTTCAAGCTCGCGGTCTCGCAACTCTGCCTCTCGCTCGTGCTCTGCTACTGCCTCATCGAAGACCTCAGCTCCGTGTTGCTCGTCTTCCTGTACATGAGCATCTGGCGCAACGCGCTCGAGGACAGGCGCTGTCTGACCGCGGTTGACGTCGTGGTGCTGAACTTCGCGCTCGGCTACAACCTCGTTACGCTCAGCTGCATCCTGCTCGCGTGCCGCGGCCAGTTGGCGCTGCTCACCGAGCAGGCGCAACTCGCGCTCGCCGTCTACAGCGTTGCGTGCTCGTTCTACGTCGCGCTGCTCAGCGTCTACCTCTGCGAGCACCGCGCAGACGTGCGGCGCAGCGAAGGCTGGATCAACGAAGACTGCCCGCTGCTGCTGAAGCCCTCGCAGCTCATCCGCTTCGACTCGAGCTTCGCGGCCGAGCCGCGAGACGCGGCGAGCGAGCTAGTATAGGCCG